AAAAAAAAGAAATTCCACTCTTTCATGCATTGCTCATTTCACATCAGCCCGTAACAAAAACGAACAAAATGAATTATTGAAAATTACATTTTTATAGATGAAAAAAAAAAAGAAAGGAAAACTATGGTAATGTATACAAATATGCAGACAATTACTGGAATAAATAGAAAAATCAATCCGTTTTACTGGCTTCTTCTAATAATGTTGCTTGTTCAGCTGTTATTTCAACAGGTTCAAATCGACCAGATTCTTGAATAATTGGTGGATTTGAATTTTCAATATTTAATACTGTTTGTTTTTGAGGAGTTTCTTCATCATCACTTGAAGATGATGATGATGGTGATGATGGTGGAGTTGAAAGTGATGTTGCTGATGAAACCATTTCAGGACTTGATGTTGGTTTTATTTCAGTTGATATTTGATTATTATTTGATGATAATTGATTTACAACTTCATATTGATCATCATCTGTATTTGTTGTTGTTGATTGACTTGAACGACGAGAAGATTGACTAATTATATCATTAGAATTTTTTATTTGATTTACATTTTCCATAATCAAATTTGATGTCTAGAAAGAAAAAAATCAAAATTTTGTGTAATATTTAATATAATAATTTAAAAATAAAACTTACTTCATTTCTATCTGTTATAAGCATAGCATCAATTGGACGCATTTGTCTAAAATGAAAATATTTTTAAATATTATGATCGAAGTCGAAATGTTTGACTTCACATATCTCTTATCATAATCGTTTAAATTTAATGGTTATTCTGATAAATCAAATTCACGTTTTTGAAAACATTTAAACCATAGATGCGCACAGTTTCTATCTACTGACTGCCAACGTCACATATATTTAGTATAGACTATTTAGAGCCTTTCAGGTTGGTCCCGGATCCGAAACCGTAATTTAAACTGTTCTTGAATACTTTCGATTTGTTTCAAATAGACTCACTAATCATATTGTATGTTTGTTTGTATTACAGCCGGTATACTGCGGTACTAATGATGAACGGAAGCAATCGTTTTTAGTCCTGCTTTCACGCTTTGTAATACATGTACTATTGGAAAATTCGATATGATTTTCTAGCAGTACCAGACATCTTGCACAATCTACATGACTTCTAATATCCTGATTCATTAGTGCTTCGTCTATTTTGTATGTTCGAAAACTCTGTTGTTTACGAATAAAAAGAATTAATTTTACTATGAAAATTGTAATAACAAATATTGAAAGGCGGTGCCTCTTATTTACTCTCATGAAATTTGTGGTTATTGTAATGTATATCTTAGGAAATAGTAATAACAAATAAATAGTCAAATGTATCATATATCGATACAAATATCTTTTAGATGGAAATACTTGAGATGCATATTTCAATGAATTATTGTTAACTTACGTATCATCATCTTGATTTTGATCATTAGTTGGTGTGGTTGGTGAATTAGTTTTTCGATTAGCAAAATTAAAAAGACTTTTTGATGGTGTTATTGATCCTGTTTGTTGAGACTTTTTACGTTTAAATTCTGCTTCATCTCGAGCTGCTCGTCTAGTTTTATAGAAAAAAAAAAAACTAAATTTTCAAATTAATATTTAAATTTGTGTACGAACAATTCAAGTTGAAGTTCAAGTATTATATTTTCCATTAAAACAACTTCATTTTCACGTTCACTTTTTAATGTCTCAAAACGAGCTTTTAATTGTTGTAATTCACGATCACGATGACGTAAAAGTTCTTCAAAATATTTCTTAAAAAAAAAAGAAAAGAATTAATTTAACATATGTACAGGACCGCTCAAAAGTCAGTTAATCGAAGAAAAAATTGAATATCTCTTCTATAGGTTTTCCCCTCTGTCAGAAATTTTCTTTTACCTCAGAACAAACGATCTGTCTAAAAACTTCAGAAAATGTGTGTCCGAACCTTAACACTTCACAGCAAAAATTTCGACTTCCGGTCGATTTTAAAATGTAACCGAGACCTGTCGCTACAAATTAAAACAGGTTAATATTTCATGATATTGTTTCTTTACTTCTAATGAAATTTTCTCTCAAAAACTAAGTCGAAAATGAAAATTTCAACTCTATTCAATTAAAAACCTTTTCAAGCTTTCTAACATGTAAAACAGTCGAGAAATTTTCGACATAAGAACAAGAAAAATTTACTTTAAGAAAAACATGAAACAAAATTTGACCTAGGGAAATTCAAGCTTCTTTCTTAATAAAACCGATATATTATAGCTAGAAGCGTTAACGATGATCCAATGCTGATACGGATTTTCAGTCGACCGGTAGAGCCCATCTGGTCCAAAAATTTCTGAATCCGGACCTTATGGGCTCTACCAGCCGGTCTATCCGTATGATATTGGTCTACCTGTATACCGATCGGTCCGGTCGTCAAAAAACTAGACCAGTCCTATCCCTGTTTTGAAGGCTATTATAAACAGATGATTTGCTATTATTTAACGAAAAACGAGTTTAGAAGCTGTGAATCAACTGGGCAAATCTTCCATCGAAAGGGGTCCCGCAATTTCCTAGACTAAGTGAATAGTAATACATCAAAACTGTTCTTTTCAATAATTTCCTTAAGAATATCAAGTATGAATATCGCTTTATTATCGGTAAAAAAAAATAAGTCTATTTGGTGAAACTATAGTGGAGATATTCAAATATTTTTCTTCGGTTAACTGACTTTTAGATCATCCTAATGATTATAGATTTAAAAAAGAATTTATTCTTTACACGTTGTTCAACTTCAAGTTTATGTTTATCCAATGGAACCATTTCACGTTCAGATAAATGTAATGGTTTAAGTTCATTAACAGCTGCTAATGTTGGTATTGGTTGTTTATTTTCTTCATCATTATTTTGATCTTTAAGTAATTGTTTCATATTATTAACACTAAAATTTATTTTGTATGAAATATAAAATTAAATTTTTTGATTACTTTTTTGAATTATAATATAAATATGGTGTTAAATCAATAACATCAATTTCGGAACCATTGAATAATAAAGGAGTAATCAGTGAATCATCTTGTTTAAAACAAAAACTAAAACAAAAAAAAAATTCTTTTTGAAGAATTAAACATAAAAAACAAAAGAATTTTAATACCTAAAATCAATGGCACTTAAACCAGCTAATTGATCACATAAAATAAACGCTTGTGATGATGTCATGATTGAATCCTCATGATAAAATTTTCTAGAAGTTTTTTTTTTCCTGAAAATTTAATGATATTTCAATTTTTCATACCGAACAAGTTGACAATCGGATAGAACAAGTTTTAACAATTCGGAAAGTTTTTTTTCCATTAATGCGAATTTAATCCATGTTCGACCCTAAAATTAATCAATATAAAATATCGTTTTATGATTTTTGTTTTTCGTCAAGATTATTCTTATAGAGATTTTGCATGATTCAAATCAAATTCGATTAAAGATAAGTGAATAATGAAATATCATTTTTTCCCTTTAATCATATGAATGAGAAGTAAACACTTCTGATTATTAAATGTTGATTAATTCGATTTAATAGATACATTATTCAACTAATATCTACCCTATATTTCATACTCTTTGTCTTTGATACTTCTTCGACACGTTCAATAACTAAAGAAAATTAAATTGAAATATAAAATTAAATTTAATCTATTTCATATTTTACTAGTTTGTCGTGATGAACCAATACATGCTGGTCGAATAAAATCCCAAAAACATCGACGTTCTGATAGCCAATTTGCTATTAAAATAATAAAAATTTTTAAATCTATATACTTTGTTTCTTATGTTTACCTCTCATACGAAAATTAAGAACACGTTCAAGTGTTAAAATAAAATTTGTAACATCATTATTTCGATCATCAAGTACAGGTAAAGCTGTTGGTGATGATGATTGATCAATTAATGTATTTAATGTTAATCTATATTAAAGAAATTTGTTTTTCTTTTTCGTTTTTATTGTATTAAATTTCTAACTTACTTAATTAAACATAATAAATTGGCTTTTTCTCTTTCATTATTGATACTTTCACTTGCAAACATGTTTTTTTTTTTTTTTTATCTAAAAAAATCTGTTTTTTGTTTTTTTGGTCTTATTTGTATTAATACACATCCACACAAACAGACGATATACTGGCTGGGATGATGCATGATGATGATTTTTGTTATATAGGTGAGAACGATGATGATAATAATAAACACAAAAAGAAGAAAGAACCAACACACACACACACACACACACACATATGTTTTTCTCTATTTGAACATCGAAAAAGAAGAAAACAAAAAGAAAAAAAGAAAAAAGAAAAAAAAAACGCATGTGTATGATAATAAAACAACAGTTGGAAAGAGAAAAAAAACAAACAAACGTTGAACGACACCGAGCACAATAAGAACAAGAAGAAAAAGAAGAGAGAGAGAAAAAAAACACTCACACTACAAACAAAAAATAATCCTAGATGTGAAATATAATATGTACAAAAACCATAATATATATATATATGTATATGTATATTCATATTTATATGCAGACAAACACAAATTACTATTTGTATCCGCCGCCCTGCAGAGGAAGAAAAAAAAGAACGAATGGTTCAACATTTTAGTCGATCAATAGCTGTTCTCAATGCTAATTCATGTGTATCATAAGATAAATAATCATCTGATAAATTATTTGGCATTATACCAAGTTCAAATGCCATTTGAGTTTGAATAGCTAAATAATAAGAATTTATAATTACAATAAATAATTCATTAGAAAAAAATCTTTAATTGTCTCACGAGTTACAAGAATTTGCAGTGTTAGTGTAAATACTAAGCAATAAGTCAATGACATAGGCTCCGCTAGAACAAACTCTATCAAAATATGTTCTTTTTCTAGTTGTATGTTTCAGTGCATACTAATCAGAAATGGAATTTGTACCCGCAACCGATCGGTCTGATATAGAGTCCTGCGAAACAAATTTTCTTCATGTCCCGTAAAATCTCGTTTTTCCCGTTAATTGAAAGGCGTCTGACTGAACAAAATGCAGTAGCCGGTTTATTGTTTCTCATTTGTTTAGTTACCATGATAAATTCTTCTTTTAAGATGACTTATCATAACTATAAGGAAAAGTTTTCTTATATGGTTATACATGACTCAATCTGAAAAGGACCATTGATATCACGACTGTATTTTTCTGCGGAAATCTAAAAGGATTTGCTTGAGTAGAAGTCTAGTTCTCTGTTATTTATTTAAATATTAAGATATACAAATTAAAAAAATTAAAGTCCATGATCCGTTTCGATATAAGAATTAAAAAATTCGGGGACATCAATTTTTTTCTATATTGTCCCGCAGGACTTTGAATACATTTCCATAAATAATTTTATAATTTTAGTGTTTTACATATTGTATCATAGCTAGAAGTGGTAACAGGGACCCGATGCTAGTGCAAATTTTAAGCCGCCCGGTTCGGTCCGGTCTGATTTTTTTCAGATCGGTACCGGTCAGCAAAAAACTAGACCAGCTCTATCTCTAGCACTAACTGCAGTGAGTCGAGTTCAAAATGTTCGGGTCCGAACTCTATAGATCAATCTTTTCCGTATCCAGGCCCCACAGTTCAAACTTTCCGGATCCGAATCCGATTTATTAAACTTTTTTGAGACCTGGACGCGGTGGATCAAACTTTTTCGGATCCGGTTGAACCGTACTTTGATACTCTAAATGAAATCTTTCTAATCGGAATTGGATAGTCGTCCTGAAGACACGAGGTATTTTGTATTCGGTGACTAGGGCCCATCGGGTCCGAACATGATGAGCTCTAGTAAGGAAACTGAAATTATGCATCCTTGATGTCATACTATCTGTGATAGAAGTGACTCATAAGACTTTTTCAAAACTAATTTTAAAAATAAAATGAATTTTGTAACTCGTAAATTAATTCAATCGATTTAATTGTCGATAGAGAAAAAAAGAAAAGTAAAATTTACTTTGATGTTCAAGTAGAATTGTTTGAATTTTATTGTCAACAATAGACATTAATTGTTCATAACGATTTTGAATCAATAAACGAACTTGTCGAGTATCATCATCATCCGATAAATGAGATATTAAAATATTCATTTGATCATTAAATGAATTTATTTTTGTTTCATTTTTTGTTGTTAATTCAATAGATAAACATGATGAAGCTTTGAAAGAAAAGACAAAACAAATATTTTTAATTCTTTTGTTTTTCTTAATTTTATAAAATACATACTCGATATAGATGAACATACACTATCAACGATATGATTAATTGATTGAGCAATACATTCAAAATATTTTCGATTTTTTTTTCTCTCTTCTATTTTAGCCATTAATTGATCTGACTTTATATTGGCACATTGAAAAAGTTCAATTAAATCATCACATCTTAAACAAAAAAAATTATTTTATTTATTTTTGATTATTCTCTTTCTCGTAGAGAAGAAAGTTCAGCAAAACATAAATTGTCTGCTTGGTTGTGTGTCCGCACTTCACTGATTGATCGAAAACAAAAGGAATTATTTTCCATAAAACTTGATCAAAGGTAATCGAGGGCAGGGAAAACCGATATCAGTTTTTATTAATTAATTATTAACTGATTATTAAGATTTCCTAAGAAACTTGATCAAAGGTAATTGACGGTGGGGAATCAGAATTCGAGATCAATTTTTATTTATTAATTATTCACTAGTTAATAATAAAAAATACAGCGAGAATATGTTCATTTCACTTTTTGAAATAGTGTACATAAATAATTTGCTGAGAACTTAAAAATACCATTTCTACGAGAAAGAGCTGAGGGAGTAGGCAGACAAACGTCACTTGTTTAAGGCCACCCCCCCCCCCCCTCAAAAAAGTTAGTTTTCGTCAGAATGGTCAAGATAGAGATAAATACATGGGGAGATAGCCTGTCATAAACGATAAAAACTTTTCTTCGATACCTCCTTTTTTCCGGAAAATTTTCAATATTTTTGACGATCCCTATTTGAAAAACCGCTGGTTTTTCGAAAAGCCCAAAAATCTTTTTCGTTTTTTCTCAAAATGGTGGTCGAATTACGTAGCCCCACCAAAAGTTAATTATAATCCGATATAAAGTCAAATATTTTTTTTTTGTTTGAAAGAGCATCAAAAACTGCAGTGCCTATGAGGGCCCTTTTTTTGATAAAGCTTTCCTATTATTATATTGAAAACCGATTTTATAATATAAGCATCATTTTTTTGAGGGATTTTTGAGTGATTGAATTTGTGAACCCTTTTTTTCTTATTAAAGATAAGAATAAAAAAAAAAGAGCCCTCATAGGCACTGCATCCTGACATGCTCTTTCAAATGAAAAAACAATGAACCATATTGAATGAATACCCATCGAGATTTTGTGCGTATGCGATAAGCTATTTTTCGACCCTTGTTTGGTTCGTAGGTACCTTATACATCAGGATAGGAGGCTGAAAATTTTATCATAGACGTACTTTTATACCCCCCAACATATGCTCAAAGTTTCATGGCATCTCGATGTTCCTAAGCTGAGATCGAATTTTGAGGGGGGGGGGGGGGCTTAATTAATATTTACCTTAATGCATGTTGTAAAGATCTTAATATTGGTGTATGACGTAATTTTAATTCAATAATTTGTTCTCTTAAATTCCATAAACGTCGAGAATATGATAAAAAAAGAGAAATTTTTTCTGAATTATTTGTTGTATTTAAAAATAATGATGTTATTTCATCATCTAATATTGATGAAAAAGACCATTGTGGTGAACGTTCAGCTAGAAAATAAATTATATTATATTTAAACCGTAAAAATAAAATATTTTACCTTCAGCTTTTATGCAAACATTACATTTAAAAAATGCTGGAATGCAAGTTGCTGTTACACCAACACATTCACAATGAGACCAACATAAACATGCTTCACACTAAAAAACAAAAAAAATATTTTATTTTTAAATCTTTAAATCTAATCTTACTTGAATCATAAAACCATTATCAATTTGACAATTACATAAACAATGAATAACTTCATAAACATCACGTTCCTTAGGTAGAACAGGTATTTGTTCCATAACACCGGAATTAATAATATTATTATTATTTGGTGATAATAAATCTTCAATAGATTGTTGTTGTTGTTGTTGTTCAGAAATTTTTGATGATATAGGTGTAAGTGGACTAGATGGTGATAATAATAATTGTTGTTGTTGTTGTTGTTCATTAATTAATAAATTTTCATTATTATTATTAGATATTATATTTGTCATATGAATAAATGATGAACGTTTTGTTTTAATATTTCGATGTTTATGTCCAATATTAGTTAAACGTTTATGACGTGTTAAAAATTTTTTTTTATTTAAATTTTGATTAAATACATGATTTAAACATAATTTCATATGTGTTTTTTATTTCATTTGGTATAAATTCATATAAATTATAAATGAAATTTTTATTATAAAATATTGAAAATATTCTTTGTAATATATTTGATATTAAACATAAACGTTGATTATTATTATTATTATTATTATTATGATAATATTCTAAACGATATTTATTCATTTTTTCATAATTATCATTATTATTATAAATAAATTTAATAAATTGTTCATAAAAATTTTTATCATCTTGATTAATTATTAAATTATTATTTAATTGTTGATTTATTGTTTGATTTTGATATTGTTCTAAATAATGATAAAAATTTTCTAAATCTTTATATGTTAATAAATCATTATTTGATGATATTGGTTCACTATATTCATCAGATAAATAACCAGGATCACATAAATCATTTGTTGGTTTAGATAAATCATCATTATCATCATTATCTTTTTGTTTTAATAATAAACGATTAAGTACACCATTTATTTGTTGACCTTGTTCTTGTGAATTTATTTGTATTTGTTTTCGTTGTGGATGATTTTGTTTACGTTTAGATTTTAATTGTTGATGAGGTTTATCTAATGATGATTCAGATTCTTGTGTTATATGTATATCAGGTAATGATGGTGGTGGAGTTTCAAGAAAACATGCTGATTTTTGTTCTATTTTTATTTGTTGTTCTATTGTTGATGGTATTGAATCATATTGATTAACAATATATGGATTATCTGTACTTGTTGTTGATGATGAACGACTATCAGTTGAAGCATTTATATGATAAATTAAATCAGGATTAGTTAATGATTCTGTATAATCATCATGTTTAGAATTTGGATGACTAGTTGATGGATCTTCTTCTTGTTTAATTACATTTTCTTCATCAATTGAACAATGACCTAAATATATTCGATAAATTATTTAAGATTAATCTTAAACAATTCACAATAAAGATTTGTAATTTTAAGAAAAAAATATATTCATAGAATAAAATATTAATTTTCAATACATTCATTTTGTTTTTTATCTCGAATCTATCGTCATACTATTTTATAATGATTGCTGATTTATGTTTAATCTATTATTTTAACAGTTATTTGAGTAGGTAGAGCAATACTTAATAAATAGATGTTATACAAGGATGAAAATTAGATTTAATATTAATCCTTACAGGAGTATTCTAATAGTATCATCTCTACTCAGTAGGATTCTTTTCATTTCAAATAATGAAACTTTCTTGCAAGACTCAGAGTATTATAAGCATCTGTGGAGATGGTGAAGGTCAAGTAGGTACCCCAGAATAATTGAAAATTACTAGTTATTCACTAGTAAAATTAGCATGATTTTTTTAGCAGCCACTGAGCCTCTCAATGATGATAACCTTGAGGCAAAAGTTTTACCCTCTAGTATAAAACTCGCCTCTTATATATTCTTTTATTCTCTTCTCATAGTTGTCTATGAATTTGTTTGTAACAAATATACACGTTATTTCTATTTTTCAGTAATATTTCATTTAAAACGAAAATTATGAATAATATTTAATCATACGTGTTGGTGAAGTTGTATTATTAGATTGTTCACCATTATCTGTTGTCTCAACAAACCGAATAACTAAAACAAAAACAAAACAAAATTTTATTTTAATATTAAAAAATAATTTTTTTTCTATTTTTACTTGGTCGAAAAATGAGAACTTCCGACGATGGAATTTCTGTTGATGTTTTAACACCTAAAATAATTTAAAATCATTTAATCATATAAAAACTAAATATATGACATACTGTTCGATGTTGTTATTTTTTGTTCAGTTGAATTTGATAATGTTCGTGTTCGACAATGATTATCAACAGGAATATTTTCTTCAGGTAATATTACTAATGAATTATTACTTTTTGATGATCGTCGTGCTAAAATTATTTTATTAAAAAAAATTTTTTTTTTGTTTTTATTCAATCAAAATACTTTGAATAATTGAATTTGTACTTGGTTTCCAAACAAATGGTGATTTTTTTTGTTCAGTATTTGTACTTGTTGTTCGTGGTAAACGTTTTTTTTTTAATTCTATTAAAATAGAAATAATTTTAGATTATATTAAAAAAAAAAATTTCAAGAAAAAGTAGAACAAACCATTAGAAGATTCAATTTGTGAAGATATTGATGATGAATCAGGAGGAGATGATAAAATTTTTTCATCTTAAAATTAAATTTATTAAATTTGAAAATTTCCTTTTTTTTTATATATTACATACCAGATACTATTTTACTTGTGGACTTTGTTTCATTACGAAGAAATTGACCGGGACGATATTCAAATGGTACATTACGTTTCTAAACAATAATAAAAAAAGGAATCTTCTATATTGTAGAATTATAAAATATTTTATATATTAGGAATTTTCAAAGTAAGAATAAATTTAACATACATGATCAATAATTGTATTTGGTCTAATAAGATCAAAATCAATCCAATATTGTTGTTGTTCAACTTGTACAAGATATTTTCTTAATTGACATTGAATAATAATTCCTGAATGCCTAATATTCAACAAATAATATAAACATTTTTTTGTTTTTGTATTTATTTCTATAAAAAAAAACAAACCATTTTCCATCATCAAGTTGTACTTCAACATTGGAACCATTTTGTAAACATAAAATTTTGTTTGATATTGTTGTTGATTCGTATCGTTTGCGTTTCATATTTATTCGAAATAATTTTTTTAAATAAATTATTTTCCAACATAGCCCAAACAAAATAACATTAGATAAACAAAATCTAGAAAAAACAATAAAAAAAAATATCTTTCAGATTTATATCATTGGATTAATTTCTAAAGCAAAAAATGTCAATACAAAAAAAATAATTTATTATGTTTTTTTTTGTTTCGATTCACGTTTATTTTTTTTTTTACATTTAAAAGAATAATTTTGACACGTATCCATTTACTACATCATGCGATCACTATTTGATTTCTGTATGAATAAAAAAGAAAGAAAAAGAAAAAGAAAAAAAAAAAACAACAAATACACTATAAGCGAAAAAAAAACTCTGTTGTTGACGATATTAAATAGATTTTACTCGTTCTACAACCAATCATAAGAAAAAAAAAACATTGAAAAAATTTATTTACAAAAAAAAATTATTTTTAATATTTTTTAAATATTTTTATTATTAGATGAATTTTGTTTTGGTTTTTTTTTTCAAGATATTTATATCAACAATATAGTAGTGCTTGTTAGCTATTGGTTAATATTAAAATAAACATGAATCATTGACTTTGACCCTAAGCGTTATATACATCATTGCCAATTGATTAAAAGCACCACCATTGAGAAGCAGTTTTCATAATGGCATTGAAACATATATTCATAAAAGAAAATATACCGTTTTCTTTTTCTTTTCTCACCAATAAAATTTATGAGCTAAATATTGACTATGTTGATCTTTTAATTTCTATTTATGCATATATAGTCTATATTGATCGATGTTAATAAAACGACTTTAATGAAATACAATAACTATTTTCTATGACACATGAAATTTTATTTTAATTGATGTGATTTTCATTTTTATCGAATTCCGCATACTGATTAATGGCAAAGGATTTTATCATATGTTTCATTCTCTATTTTCGTTGTTTATGTTATCTAGACATTTTAAATGAAAAAAAATCCGACCGTATCATGGCAATTCACAGAGAGAGAAAAAAAAAGATTATGATTAAATATTTAGACATGAAGCAAAACTTTATCTTTTACTTGTCAAACGAAATCTTGCTAATTTTTAATACATATTACAATTTATAAATCTGAAAAATTTTTTTTCAAATATTAAAATCAGTATGTGACTCATATTTACAATGACTTGGGAATATTAGGAATCAAATTCTCTACCCAAATCACTATTTGCATTTACAAGAGTTTAGAAAAAAAAATTTATGAAAATGATACAAAAATATTTCTACTATAAAAAATAAATGAATAGTTAAATTCTATCACTAATTACATTTTATATTAATTTAGTAAATGATTAAAATTTTTATCTGAAAACATTTTCATCAAGATTTTTTGAGAGAACTATTCTAACTGATAATTTGCGTTTGATTTCATGTTTTATTGATTATTAGAGCCTGTGATGGTGCAGACAAAAGTTTTAAAAGGATTTATGTCATTAACGTTTTTTCTTGATTTATCATCATTTTACGGAATTGTCAGCCTATTAAAGAAAATTAAATCTAGATATTTTAGTCTGAAAATATATCGCCGAATAAGATTGTATATCTACCATCTCCTTAGGTTGTAATTTCAATAGATGAAAAAGATCGATCATGAAATTCTGCATATTGATGTTGATTTATTTTTCTTTTTTTTTTATTAAATCCAAAAGCAAATAATTTTCAAGGACTAACTAGTCTTATGAGGTTTATCAGTTTTTGATGTTCTCGATGATAACCATTATTTTTTCTTTTCTCAACTCAATATTCAAATCAATAGCGTCGATCGATGTAGTTTTTCATGCTCTACTAAATGACATATCGATCATGTTCATCGATTAGTTAATATAAGGTCAGACAAGTGCAATATTTGACCTACATAAACTAATCGATGAACATGATCGATATGTCATTTTGTAAAGCATGAAAAATTAAGGATACTATAGTTATCATTCAAAACATCCATAAATGATAGATTCCCAAAGACTTTTTATTCTACGAAAAATTTCTTTTTGATTTCAGCAAGCAAAAATGGATGACTTTTTTTTCTATCAAGAAAATCGCTAGTTTCTCACAATAGATTCAAACAAGTTCGATTGTTTTTTTTCTTTGAGAGAAGACACCATCCATTTTTGCTAAAACTTTTCAGAATATCATTAAAAAAAAATCTATTTCTGGGTAAATTTTCTTTGCAATAGATTAAAAATTCACTAAAATAATCATAACTGTGTTTGATGATACAAATCCTTTTCGATGAACTCTAACAATCAACAAAAACATGATTAGTTAGTTTTATTCATACACCAACTTTAATAACCTTATAAAATATTCCCTTTCGAATGTTACCTTCATACAAACATGTTCTTTTTCTTTCTTATTTAAATAACTGTTTGATACAAAATGGCGCAAGTAATCATTACGTGTAGTTTCGATAAAGAACAAAAAAGAAAAGTTGCAATGAAATTTCTCCAGGGAACTTGTTCTCTATTAAACTAAAATATACTCTTCTTTTTTTTTTTTTCGTTCGTAGACATTAAACACTTACACATATATTCTTATGCAATCAAATAGAAACGATATGATTGAGTCACTAAATAAATATAAACTCAAAGGACGAAAGAAAAAAAAAATGTATATAACATATACATCTTACTCTTACACATGCATTCGTTAGAATTTTGTTTCAACGAATGCAATTTATTGGTAACAGCTTCCAATTTTTTTCTTTTTTATTTACCAGCGCCTAACAGCTGACAGCGAACAAAATGTCGTCTTTTTTTCTTTTTTAACAATAAAGCAAGACTTGACACATAGGCAAAAAAAAGGGCATATTGAATAGTTATTTATAGTTTTACTATTCAAAATTATCTTTTTCATTTGGCTTGATAGCAATATTAATTCAATCAACAGCATTGATTGTCATAACATAATTAGAAAATTACATCGAATGTATAAAAGAATTCGTTTTATTTACAATCCTTAATCATCGTATTGATTTTATTATCGATATCAAGACTGTCAAAACAATCTTTTATTAATATTTGATTTATTTTAATCAGAGTATTCGGCATATTATTCATATTATTTTTAACCTTCATATGATATTGTTGATTTTTTTTTTGTCCAAAGAAATTCAAAGATGAACAATGGCCTAAAATCAAAGATGTCTTCAAATATATAACACCAACCTGTTGAGTAGTAAGTGCGGCAGCCCACATTTGCTGTAAACGTATGAATCGATCCTTTACGTGCTCTCAAATCATGAACAAAATTTTATTATTATCCAAGGTATGAACTTTTTATGCAATCTACTTTACTCAATGCTTAAGTTGTTACATATGTAATTATGTGGAACTATCATACATGAGAAAAAATTTCTTTGAAAATTTCATTGTCATATAAGCAATCTGGTGGTACACTCATGAATATTTATTGCAATTATCGACGAACCAATGTTTATGGTTTATCAATATAAATATTATTCTCATCAGCATGAGATCGTTCGTCTTTCATCTCTATCGACGGATTAAACAGGTCAATTCTTCTTACTCACCAAAACTCCATTAGTTATCGACGCATACTGTTAGACATTCATACAAATTTTAATTAAATAAATCATCGATATTAAAAAGGATGGGTTTTTTTAATGGTTTGCTTAGTATCTATATGTACTATTTGACATGTATTAATGAATAAACTATTTCGAAGTCATGTCAATTAGGACCATTCAATATGATGTTATTTCATTTATGATACAATGAAATTTTCTTTTAACTTTAATTTTCTAAATTTTGATAACTAATCAACGAATGTATTAATATAGGGAGGCGGGGCTTTCTTTTTACATGTACTTTTTATTTTGATTTTTTTAAAATAAATTTCAATTTCATTCAGATTATTCTTTCGATTTTCAGAAGTAAAATTATATTTTTTACAATAGTGGATAAAAGTCTCCCACATCTATTATCCTTTCTCGACTACGAAAAGTCTGAACATACACTGACACTAAAGTGTAAACTGTTCAAACTGATATCGGATCAAATAATGGAATTTCGATCTCAAAATTTTGCTTATACACGGTTGGAAAAAATATTATTCCAGGGGGGTAACGCTATAATTTCAAATAGAAGACATAATAAATTTTATATCAAATGAAAGCTCGTTAAAAATGGGGTTTATTGGTATTAAATAGTGAGGGTTATGAAAACCTTTTAATGTCGAGCTTAATAAATTTTCAGAAATTTTATACTTTTTGTTGGGATGGAAAATTAAAGTACTAGTGATTCAAGAATGGAGTAAAATATTTTTCTTGAATATTTTTACACGGTTCGATCGAGCTCGTCGAGCTCTATAAAACTGTATACATCAAAAAAATTTTAAAACACTTTTTTTGCGATAAAAAATTCAAAAAACTGTTTGGAAAATCTTAGAAAACATGAAAAAAATTCATATTTTTCATGTGGAAGAACAACACTTACTTTTTCAATAAAAGTAGCTTTTTTCATTGTTTTTACTCCGTCAGGTGTTTCGAAACATACTCATTAGACGCAGCTTTTCACACTGCATCGAACGAGTATATTTCAAGACGTCTGAGGTAGTAAAAACAACGAAAAAAGCTACTTTTATTGAAAAATTGAGCGTGTTTCTTCAATTTGAAAAAAAAAAGAGTTTTTAAATGTTTTGAGGTTTCCCGAGTAGTTTTTTGAACTTTTTATCTCAAAAAGATGCCTCAAAAAATTTTTAACATGCACAGTTTTGTAGAGCTCAACGAGATCTATCAAACCATCTAAAAATATTCAAGAAAAAAAATTGACTTCATTTTTGAATCAGTGACACCTTGATTTTCCACTCCAAAAAAATATAAAATTTCTGAAAACTTCTTAAGTTTAACATTAGAAAGTTTTTACAAGCCTCACTATTTAGTATCAATAAACCCCATTTTTGACGAGCTTCCATTTGATATAAAATTCATTATGTCTTCTATTT